GGCGCACTATAGCAGTGTGCCACCGGGCCGGCCCAAAATTCACCTTTTTAAAATGTACAATTCAGTGGCTTTTATTCACTGAGTTGTGCAACCATCACTACTAATTCCATAATGTTTCATCGTCCCTGAAGGAAGCCCTGCACCAGCAGTACTCGCTCCCCACGCATCCCTTCCCCAGCTTCAGGGCAGCCACTTAGTCTTCTGTCTGTATGGATTTGCCTATTCAGGACGTGTCATATCAGTGGAATCACATAGTATGTGGCCCTTCGTCACTGGCTTTTCACTTATGAAAGCACGATGTTTTCAGGGTGTATGCATGTTGTAGTATGTATCAGTACTTTATTCCTTTTTATTGCTGAATAAAATTTCATTGTATGGATATGATTTGTTTACCTGTTCATCTGCTGATGGACACATGGGTTGTTTCCACCTTTTGGTGATTGTGAATAATGCTGCTATGATGATGCATAAGTTCTTATGAATATATTTTCCCAAGTGAAACTACTGAGTCTTGTGGTAACTATGTTTAACATTTTAAGGATTAAAATGTTTCCCAGAGTGGCTGTACCATTTTACATTCACATTAGGAATGTACAAGGATTCCATTTTCTCCACATCCTCACCAGATTACTGATTTTTAATCAGATTACCGATTAATCTGATTTTTTTTTCTAGCCATCCTAGGATAGGTGTGAAGTGATATATCATTGTAATTTTGATGTGCATTTCCCTGATGAGTAATAGTGCTGAGCATCTTTTCATGTGCTTATTGGTCATTTGTAGATTTTCTTTGGAGAAATCTTTATTCAGATTTACTGCCCATTTTTAGTTGGGTTATTGTTCTATTGTTCTATGAATTTTTAATATATTCTGTATACAAGCTCCTTATCAGATATATGATTTGCAAGTATTTTCTCCCATTCTGTGGGTTGTCTTTTCACTCTGTTGATGGTGTCTTTTTAAGCAACAAAGTTTTTAATTTTGATGAAGTCCAATTTATCTGTTTTTTCTTTTGTCACTTGTACTTTTTGATGCAGGAAGAGGTTTAATAGGTAAAATTTTATTGGTATAATTTCTTTCCTATGAACAAAATTCATAAAAATAACATGCTTGTTGTGAAGTGCTTATTAGTTTGTAAAGTGCTTATTAAAGTAAAATTTAATAGTGGGTGGCCACTTTTTGCTAAGCTTTTTCTGGGTTTAAGTTTTTGTTTTATGTCTCGCCATCGGTTTAGAAATGTTAAATAGTAATAAATTAACCTACAAATTTGAATGTGGTGGTTTTATTTCTTAAGATAATTACCATATCCTTTAAGAACAAAAAGAACTTTTAAAAAGATATTGTTGGTATTAGCAGAAAAACGTGCACCCACAACTACCACATGCCGTGATCCTCTTGAGACTCTCATGACTTTGTATTATTCATTATGTGTTTGCGGAACTTAAGAGAGAGCACACTTTTCTTTTGGCCTTTCTTATATTATTTTAGCTTTATTACAAATTAAGTACTTATTCTTAAAGTAAGTGAAAGACTACAGAACTTTGTAAAGGAAAAAGGAAATATCCCTCGTTCTGCACCTCAAACACTCCAGACTCACTCATTAGTACAATTACTGTCGACCATTTGTTAACCATTCTTCCAGAATTTTGTGTGTATACATTGGTGTGTGTACATCAGTAAACATTCATGCATGTTTTGGTTTTTTTTTTTTTTGCACAAAACCCTTTTTAAAATAAATTTCAGGACAAAAGAATACTAAAGATCTGAGTTTAGTCATCACATTTTGGTTTTACTACCACAGAATCATTTTGTGGTATTTAGTATTTAAGAGAGCTTGCTTTCTGCTAATTGAAAGTAAATTGGCACCGTAATGAATTTTTATAATGTGGTAGATTTTTGTAATTGTCATTCTGAAACTCAAATTTATTGGTGGTGTTTTAGGAACTGCTTTTGTCTGAAACAGAGACTATTTTACCACCGTATTTGTCTTCATCTCTGCCTCCCCCAGAAGAACTGTTTGCTGTTCAAGTTAGGCACGTTGTCTCACCTAACGAAGTATGTCGTTAAGTGATTAAGGTGGTGGTTAAAAATATAGCAAACAATCTTGGTCTTAAACACTAGGTTTGATTCTTCACTTCTCCATCTTCCTGATTTTAAGTAATTGAAAAGTGGTGACCTCTAGTTTTCCCCACCCTATAATATCCTCTTTAGACATTTGGTAACATTGTCATGAGCCACTTAACAACAGGGAGACATTCTGAGAAATGCATTGTTAGGCTATTTCGTTGTTGTGTGAGCCTCCTAGAGGGTACTTACACAGACCTAGGTGGAGTAACCTAGGCTGTATGGTATAGCCCGTGGCTCCTAGGCTACAAACCTGCACAGCACATTACTGTACTGAATACTGTAGGCAATTGTACTGCAATGCTATTCATGTATCTAAACATAGAAAAGGTACAGTAAAAATGTGGTATAAAAGAATTTTAAATGGCACACCTGTACGGGACACTTCCCATAAGTAGAACTTGCAGGACTGGAAGTTGCTCTGGGTGAGTCAGTGAGCAGCGAGTGAGTGTGAAGACCTAGCACATCTCTGTGAACTACTGTAGACCTAGGTTACACTAATTTTATTAAAAAATGAAGTAATTATGCTGTGACATTACGACGGCTAGGCACTAGGAATTTTTCAGCGACTTTATAATCTTATGGGGCCACTATCGTATATGGGGCCTACTGTCGCCCAGAACATTGCTATGTGGCGCATGACTGTATTTAATATAAAGGCAAGTG